AACTCGGGGGGGCATGGTATTGGAGGGGTCGGAATCCATGTTTGGGGGGGAGGATTGGGGTTACTTTTTGGGTGTGGTTACTTCAGGGCTGGGGGGAATGGAACAGGGCTCGGAAACGTCTCGGATCCTCTTAGAAATTTCGTTCCAAACTGAGTGAAATTGGGAGCCAATGCCTTTTCAAAGCGCAAGCCTTGCTCCTATAAAAACGAACTTGTCCATTATATGGTTTGGTTTTGTTTGGTTTGTTATTAGAGGAAACCATAGCAATCGAGATGGTCCTTCCGTGGGGACTATTTAGAAATGGATGTATAATTTCTCAATGCGGAAAACCACGAAAACGTGTGCCATCTGCTGAATCGTCTCAGGTCGGAACTATCAGTGTTCAGCAATTTTAACCACTCGCCGCTATGGGCTATAATGTGAGATTTTGATATATCCGTTAATCCCAAATCTTTCAAATTAAAAAAAAAACTTTTTTGCAATTCTATGGCTTTTTTCTATAAATTCAGTTTTGTTCTCAAATCTTTCATTTTTTGAGAATCATTTTTCCCATTCTATGGAGTTTCTCTATAAATTAATTTTCGTTAGAAATTTTTAATTTATTCTCTGTTGCAAACTGATTCCAAGAGCAGGTAGTTTGATTGATCTCATGTGGACAGATATAAAGTCCCCAGCTTCATATTTTTGAAGAAGGGACACTAATAAATAATTTAATTTCCTTAACGAAACATGATTGCATATAACTTTGCTTTCGTAGAACCTATGGACTACCCCACCCATCCTTTTTGTATGGTGGTAGAGGAACAAAATGACACAGCCTTAGGCCCTGATTCGAATCTCGGAGAAGGCATGGATATTGTAAGTGTGTACTTATATTATCCATGCTTTCTCTGAGGCATGAAGGCATTGAAGTTACTTTTGAGATGAAAATCTACTTCAGAGACTGGTGGAAAGAGAAGAGGGCTACAGAACCCTCGGATCCTTCTGGAGAGGAATTCTCGTTCCAAACTGAGATGAATTTGGGAGCCCAAGGCCTTTTCAAGCGCAAGCCTTGGCTCCGATAAAATTAGCGAACTTGATCTAATTATATAATTTGAGCTTTTATTTGGTTTAGTTTATTATAGGAAAGCACACTAGAGCTATCGGCCTAAGATGGATGCCTTCGTGGAGGACTTATTTAGGAAAATGGCTTGTATACATGGTACACATGCGGAAAACCACGAAAACGCCGATGCAGCCATCTGCTGAATCGTACTCAGGTCGGAACTATCAGTGTTCAGCAATTTTACCACTCGGCCGCTAGTGGGCTATAATGTGAGGATTTGATATATCCGTCAAATAAGATAATAATCAAATATCTATGAGCCGCCTCAATTTTGAAAGACTCTGATGCCAGTGTATGTTGGAATAATAAAGGCATCCAAAATTGCCTATGATAGGGAACAAAAACAATAATGGCAAGTTGTGTTATTAAGGAATTGTCTCATTGGCCCATGCGTTCTTTCGAGAGTAGCACAACAAGCAATCAATTAGAATGTGTGAGTGGTTAGAATTTTAAATATGAGAGCAGAGTAAATTTTTTACATTCCTTTCTTCGGAAAAACTAATTATCCCTGAAATGTTTCAAAAATCTGATGCTGAGTTTGAATGGAGAAATTCCGATGTCAAGCTCTAAAAATGCACCGTAAAATATAAAGAATCAAATATTTTTATTTGATTCAGGAGTAAATGCTGTTCATTAATTTTTACTCGAATTCTAGACTGGAAATCTCTTTATTATAGAACACTTACGAAAGTTTACATTCAATACATATCCTTTACCTATACAGCATTTGAAATTTCCTGGAAAACATATATCTCTTACAGATCATCAAATTTCACCTTGGATAAAAGTGTTCTCCGATTTAAATTTTCTATTTAAAAATTTTTATTTTTTCATATTATAAACATATGGCTTTTCCATTTCAACATTTTTTCTGCTTTAGAATTTTTCGAAAGTATTTAAAAGCATGTCTGAGTGAGTTCAATTAATGCCTAAGAATTACCAACATAAAAGAGCGTTAGCCCAGAAGGGATATTTGTCTCAAAACGGGATTTTGCGTTGAATCACTATGAAAGTCTGAATCACTTTCCAAATTCTTGCCACCAAATATTTATCGCCCTGTATTATATTTAAAGAAATTAAATAATGAAGAATTTCCATGAATGTATGCATGTATTTCGCGTTGGGAAAAAAATAGCGCTGCCTAGAGCCATCAGATTTTGAATAACGTAGTCCTCCACCCGAATATGGGCATCTCGAAGTCCAAATTTATAATTTCGAATTTGTTTTATTATGTATTTTGCATTCTAAAGATATGACGTTTTTAAACATTATACTGTACATTTCAAATTTTATAAAATGTTAACGAATTTTTGATTAACAAACTCAACGATTTCAAAGCGAGCAATGGCAACACTGTACGGAAAAAAACATTTTTATATCCAGCGCGCGAGACTGTCTATAGAAAATTCTAAAGATAAGCTGTTTTTAAATGTAGTTAGCCATACACGTTTTGAGAGTATTTGAGTACATTAGCTCAAATACTCTCAAAACGTGTATGTGTATGTAAATGAAAAAAAGCCCCTTTGGGCTAATGTAACATCTGAAAGCTTTGAGATTTTTTTATCAAATTATTTATCAGATTTTGTTATGTTTCCGTATGTTACTCGTGCTTACGTTTAGATAACTACCTATCAAATTGGACTGTCTGTTGCCGAACAGCAAAATCGCTAAACACTATTAGTTTAATCCGGATTCAGATCCTGGTGAAGTGGCTAGCAGCAGGAAAATTTTAACATAAATATGCTCAAGTTTCCCTACCTTCAACGTAAGGTAATTTAATATTATAACGTAACTTTGACACAAGGAATAACGTAAATACGAGTAAAATTCCTTTAAAGATTTCTTCGCAAAATTGCCTTAGGCAGATAGCCCAAATGTGCTTTGCGATAATCCATTTTTGAGCTGATTCGTTATCAATTAGTAACAACGGTACCATTAACAAAATTGTATATTAGCTTAACATCAAGTTTTATTTTAAGTTGTCCCGTAAATAGTGAAAAAGGTGCCTAACCAGTCTTTTACTTTTATATCAACATATAAATATGTTTTCTGCTTATCTACCAAATACACGTACTTTATTTATCGCTTTCAGAAACTCATTTTAGAGCTGCAATGGAAAACAACCTATTAATCGAAGCTTCATTTCGAAAATTAACTTTTTTTTTCAGTTTAAAGTATCTGTATTTTGTTTTTTTAAACACAAGTCTCAAATAGTCATGTGATTTAGATTAGATTAGATTAGATTTCCAATTTTGATTATGGCTAAGCACTCTAGAGATATCTGCCTAATGTTCTGTAATAGGAACTGCATTTTCATATACATGTCACTCTTAAACGTCAGAGTAAATGAAGCCGTCAAGCTTTGGTATTTTACCCCTCGGGATCTATGTCCGGCAGCTGAATATGCTACCTGCGTGACCTCATCATGATGATCTCACTGATTAGTATAAATATTTATAAAATATATCATAGATATTCATAATTCGTTTCACATAATCTAACCCCACCATCGGCTGGGTGTTTAATACCGCTGAATACTGGAAGTTCGATCAGACCAGACGAATGGGCAGACTCCATGGATGGTTTTCGTGGATTTTCCCATGTGTAACGAAAATGCAAGCCAGTTTCCCTTAGGAAGTCATTCACAAAGACTTTCCTAATCTTAGACTGAAAGCGCTTGCGAGCTTTGCCATATTCAAATGACCATACCTAACAATCTAATCTACCGTATCTCGTGTGCTTCGTCATGATTAAAATTACATCTCAGTGGCCCACTGATTATGAGTAATTCGACCTGTGCTAAAACTTCGTGAATCCAGGTCTCGCAATACGCCAAAAGTACTATGCCTGACTAAGTACTATGCCTATTTCACGGCGTGAAATAGGAATATAATCTAATTTCTGTTAGAAATATCTGTACGAGGGCAAGCTGCCGTTATGGGCTTTGCCGTAGTATAAATAATCCAATCGTGTAAAAAATAATTTGAATAATTCAAAAATAAATAGAAATAAAAACGAGAGTTGGGAAACGGAAAAAACAGAGAAAGGGTTTTTTCAAAGAGGAATAAAAGTTACTTTTAATCGTACTTTTAATTATCAGATTTCCTATGGTTTGGATTCGCCCCCCCCTCCGTTTCTGAAAGCGAAAATAATACATTTGAAGGAAGCCTTCTGTCTTTGTACAAAACAAAGAAATGCGTTATAAACGGCTGATTTTCGAAGATGAAATATTAACTGTTAGAAAATCTCTTTTTCGTGTTTTATTACAGCAACATATGGAATACTTTATATTTATAATCGCTAATTTTGAATGAAAAATAAATCTATTTTACTCAGTGATCAGATTTATTTTTAAAGATATGTAGAGTTTCCGAACAAATCTTAAGAAAATCCTAGTGTGAAAACGCGTTATGGAAGGTAATTAAAACAGTATTGTGTCGCTTGTCTGGAAATAGCTAAGCCTAATTGTATGTCGTGAAAATTCCATTCCACTTCATTTAATTCTGCTGTGTTTAATTCAGGAGAAATTAGTAAGCTAGTTTAATTCAAGAGAATAAGTTAGCTATTTTAGTGTAATAAAAGAGCATTACTGTAATTTAATTTTAGATACGCAGCATAAAATACTAAACGAGAGAATCAGGTTACTTTCGTACTTACATTTTCTTACTGACTTCAAGTACAATGGAATCTCGAATCATTTCTTTCAAAGGAAACTAAGAGAATGCGAATAAATAGTATATGACAACATAATTTTAAATGAATAATAGTTATTAGTTTAACTATTGTTCTAATAGTTATTTCATAAACAATAGTTATTAATTTTTATTGAGTGCATGACGTTAAAAAGCTGTTTTTTAACAAAAAGGCCATTCATTTTCTTTTGCTTCTTTAACAGATAATGCCTTAATTGAAAACAGGACTTCAGGAGGACTTAACACATTCGCTGCTGAGAGACATTTTCAAAGACGGTTCCACCAGGCCGACAAATTTTAATTAATTGTAAAATAAAAATACAAAACATGCATTAAATTTAGATAATTTTTAATTGCTTTATTAATTATAGGAGTTGTATCATAGATTATTTTTGCGATAAAATATTTTATAACAGCGCTAACTACGAGTATACTTGTAACGAGTGTATCGTAGTTGGCGGTTCTTATAATAAAGATTGATTATTTTTACAACAATTATTATAACAGACTATTATAAATTGCTTGATTATGTTTACAGTTCCTATGTTATTTACTTTATATAATTACTTATACTAATATTAATTATAGTTAATCTCTTGCGCAAAATTATATTTTTTTTCTCCAAAACCTACAAAGAACACCAAAATACTACGAGTTTGATCGTATGTGGCGTAGGTAAAACAAAAACGCTCTACGAATTAACTTGTATCTGGCACTTGAACACAAACTTCGACCTGCGAGATAACTCGTGGTTGGCAGCGAAAGTGTTAAAATGTTTTCACAGACTACTCTGCTTCTATTTTTGACTTAAAAGAAAAAAGAAATAAATTAAGATTATGTAAATTTCGTGAGTTTCGGTGACATTCGGAACCTTCTATTGTCTCATTTCTATCGTCTTCTTCCACGGTGACTGTGTAGACCAAAATAAAAAACTAATTCTGAAATCCCTAGTAATAGCAATTATAAACTAATGAAAACTAATAGTTCATTTATGGCAATTGCAACGAAATAACGGAGACGCCAAGCTCAGGGTCATGTGCGAAGCATCAGTACATTACAGTATTCTAATGCATTGATACTTCGTACATCAGGTGCCAGATTGCAAGTATAGCCGGTCATGATTGCAAAGTATGTTCGCCTTCACTTCATAATTGATGCATATGTAGCAACCCCAAAAGAAAAGAAGCAACCCAAAGAGAAAAAAATGGATCTTTCCAGATCAATGCGAAATTACATATGATATTGCTGCAACGCTTTCAAAAGAGAAAAGTTATATGTGGTATTTTTCGCTGTGTACTGGAGGGTTATGGCTAATACACAAGTACTATCCTTTGCGTCTGGGACAAGTAATTTCAGTTAAATTAGGAAGGAGTTTCCAGCAGTAAATAATTGATGAAAACACAGCAATGACTTTGCCCTTCGTATGTTACGTATCTTTATGCGAGGCTGGGACTGAATTACCCAGTTGCATTTTGGTTAAAATTCAACAATTGACGTTCTCTTTCTGTTTATTATATCAAAGGTATTCACTGCTCTCTCTTGAATCAACATTAAAATTATCGGAAAACAAAACAGCAGCTGAGTCTCGAGTTACCACATGAAATATCTCTCCATTTCTACAACTTCCCTCCAATTCTTTCACTGATAATCGTTATTTGCAAAGCTCCTCTAAGTTACCTGGAACCCGTAGTTTGGCCTTAATAATTAACGAAATTATTGATTTATTGATCCATTGTACACATCTGAAACTTAAGCCTGCTTTTTACCCTTTACAATGAATAGCTTCCAATTTATAGGTATTATTTCTATTGAAAAACATTGTATCTTTGAAAGTTCTATGGAAGCTCAAAATTTGGGATGTCCAGAATTCGCTACATTAATGAGTTGCCACAGGCTTTCTATGTGAAAAGGAAATGTGCTCAGCTCCTATGTATATATGTTACTATGTGCAGATAAGAAATTAATTTCAAAACTGTGAATAAATCCGATTTAAATGCAATAAGAACATAGGTAACGACCGAAAGCCAACTAGTGGCTTAATGTTAAAGCCAGGCAATATTGGTAGTAGTAGTTCTCATTAGGTTAGATTCAAAACGATGGGATGGAATGATAAATGGGAAATTTCAAGTTTGTTTCGTGTGTAACCTGTCAGTAAATTTAAAGCGGCGTTAATGTGTTTTTGGTTTGGTTACTGACAGTAAGGGCTCTTCAGATTTTGTTCCTACGCTTGGTAAGTTCAAACATAAACAGAATTTATACTGCTAAACTGAATAAACAGTTAAATTTTATTTATGATTTATGATGAAAGAATTTAAGCATAATCTTTATTTTTCTATGTAGTCATATGCCACTGCAATGCACTTGTTCTAACGACAACTAATTGTTTTTTACAGTTGCACAACGGGAAGAACCTAATCATTAGACTTGAATTTCTTCCTAAATGTTTTTAGTGGACCGAAGGTATAAAGTACCTTTGAAGTGCTGTAGGTCATTAGAGCTTCTAAACTCTTCCCATCATGCTTTTCATAACACTGCGGAAATTATGTATCGGCAATCATGTTTTCCCGCCATGAAAAGTGAAGGGACCATCTGGCAATAACCTTGTTAAATTTAAAACAAATAACTAGTTATTTCATACTACGAACACTTAATTGTCTTCACTATTTCCCTGTTGGTGATTCTTCTGTGTAACTGTATTATTTCGTCAACAGCAATCAGTTTGTCTTCCTCGATTGAAGTTTTTGGGCCAGTGAGCATACGGCCAAAAACTTCAATCGACAAAAACCAAAACTATAATGATGATGCAGTGCCATGCCCCTAAGTTCCTGCCCCATATGTTGATTACAGCTAACAAGTATGAAAAAAACCACCATTATTAATTATGTGTATATGTAAAACATGCATGTGAAAAACTAGCTTTTCTAAGTCCAAACATATATGTATATGCCCAATCAGCCATGATTAATACATTGAGCGTTTTAGGAGTACACAGCATGAAAACTCCCCTTTATATTTGAACTTCCCTCATTGAACGTCCGTTATTCGTCTTATTAAAAGTTATCAGTTTACGCTGTTTAGGAAGTTCTTTTTTATGCATTCTCTAAACGCTAAAAGGTTTTGCCATTCAATGCAAATGGTGCCGTTCTCTTTTTTGATGTGTAATGCTAATACTAGAAACTTCATTTTGGAGAATCTTTTTCACAGAGGTATCACTAGTCACAGAAAAAGTGTTTCCTAGCTTTTGAGAACTCGTACTTCCTCACGGGCTGATAGTTTTTTAATAATCTTAAGGCCCACTAGTGACTGAGTGGTTAAGACTACTAAACATATGCAAGTTAGACTTTGAATTCAAATTCAGAAACGGTTTGGCTACATTGAGTTTTCGAACTTATCTCTTATCTTATGTGAAACGTGAATCGGTCGGGTAAAATTTCCTTCATGAAAGCCACCCTGTATTATAGAAAAAGCTCATATATGCTTTGTTTCAATAAATTAACTAATCAACCAACATTATAAAGTATTTTACCTTACTTCATCAATCATACTGATAATCGTATGCAGTTGTGTTTAAAACTAGATTAGATTAACTGATTAAAGGAAAGCAACTCAAGGACTATCTGTAGATTAGATTAACTGATTAAAAGAAAGCAACTCAAGGACTATCTGTCTATGGGAAGGGATGCCTTATGGAGTGCTTTTAAGGGAAACTGGCCCCTATCTTTGCTACGCATGGGGAAAATGACGGAAAGTGACCATGCAGCCAGCCCGTTCTCCGGGGTCGATCCGAAGTCGAAATACCACTGTTCAGTGGCTTTATCGTACGAACGCTGATGGGCTAATTCAGCTGAATTAAGAAAACTAAAGTATTTTCAAACCTGCTTTCATTTCTGCGCGTAGAATTCTATTCATACTAATTTCTGCGCTAATATTAAAGGTAATCTAAGTTTAGAATTACTGAGATTTAATGAAAAAGTAGAAAGACAGTGCAACTTATCACTTAAGATAGTAGAGTTAAAGGTTACCTAGAAAAACCAAGATTTAAGGAAAAAAACAATACATTTCGGTATGGTGAAGTAAATATTTTGCCAGTTTATAGTTCGCCACATGCTTGTGACTATGATAAAAAATACATGCAAACCTTGTTGGATATTTCTTTCCTAATTTTTAATCTTAAATCGAAGCCTTTATTGGTAGCAAGCTCTCTTATAAACGTAAATGCCTGTTACATAACTAATTTTGTTCTTTTACTGAAAGATAAGGAAAAATTGAAACAGAATGCAATTTACTACAGTGGAAGTCATTTTATTTGACTGATGTCAGAATTGCAATCAAAAGGTTGATGTCAGGCTTTATAATTAACAACGGATTTCAAATGCAAGCGTTCACGATTCGTTTCTTGCTTTGAATTGCACCGTCCCCAAATAAAATGGCTTGTTAACACAGAAGTGAAGTTGAAAAGCACAAAGTGCTTCCATTGCTTTCTTCATTTGATTAGGTCTGTGGATGCAAACCAGTTTCCCTTGCTCCTTCAGGTTATAGAGTCATTTGACATAATTTGAATAATCCGAATCTCTCATGAGATTTATTTTAAGGTAGATTACTTGAATTTGGCGAAGCGTACAATCGCCGTTCGAGGCTGTTCCAGGAGATTTTAAAGGAAATTGGTTTGCATTCAAGTAACATAGGAGGAAAAATATGAAAACCAACGATGAAATATTTTCAGGGTTTGAACTAGAGAATACAGTTCAGCGATTTCAACACTCACCTCTAGTGATGCACACATCTTCAGTTAGTCACAAAAGTCTGCGTACAGACTAAATTTTAAATTTAAAAAAACACTTAAAGCATAGAAAAATGTATTTTAATCATTGCATTTTTTTTCTTCTATTAGCTAAAATTGTAAGCTTAAATAAAAAGTAAATAATATCAGTGTAATTCCTTTTTACATTTTTTCAAAAATATATTTTGTCAAAAAAACTCAGAAATTCCCTCCAATAAGTCTGCGTACACTTTCAAAAAAAAAAAAAAAAAAGCAAAATATAAGTTTTTTACATTACTTCAATACTTTGTAGGATATCCTTTATTCTTCAAAACAGCTTGCAGACGTCTGGGCATTGACTGAACTAGTTTTTCAGTGTCATCCGACGTAAATTTCGCCCATTCTTCCTGCAATTTACTAATTAGCTTATTTCGCGACGTAATATTGTGTTTTCGAATTCGTTTCTCCAATTTTGCCCACAAATGTTCGATTGGATTGAGGTCTGGTGACTGTGGAGGAGTACGCAACTGTCTTGGAGTGTGATAGAGGAGATATTCCTTCACAATTTTAGCTGTATGTTTCGGGTCGTTGTCTTGTTGGAAAATAAAGGTATTAGAAAGGTTTAAATTTCGGGCACTGTCTCGTAGATTTTTCTTCAGAATATCCAGATAAACATACTTATCCATGACTTTATCAATAATGTGAAAATTTCCAACTCCTTTCGACGACATACACC